CTACTTATATTAATAAGAAGTTAGTATTCTTTTTCCCAAAATGAAGAAAAATTAAAAAGAGAAACATATATTTTATCAATAAAACAAAAAAGGGGGGGGGAGGGAGAAGAAGAGAAATAATAGGTTGGCTAATGACAGGATGATGTTGCTATTTCAGAGCATAGATATAGTTGTCTAGGTATTATTTCTTTTCAAATGAATAGAAATTCACAGTTTATATAAATTTAAAAATATATAAATTTCAATTGGAAAACACATGTTTATATGACTAAGATTTTGTATTTTTTAAAGTGCACTTGTTCAGCCCCCCTGTTAAAAAATTAGTAAAAATAAAAATGGGAAAACTTTTAAAAATAAAATTTGTTAAGTAATGAATAAATGTTTAATATGCATTCTATTTTGCATATCAAACACGGAATTTAAAGTTTTTTTATGATTATGACATTTTTGAGCTTTTAAATGGAATTTATTTTCTTTGTATCTGAAATTCAAGACTATCTACACTGAATTTCATCAACCTTTTCTGGTGAAATTTATATTTTACCAACCCTTTTGGAAGTTTGGATGATTATTGATGTTAAGGGTAGAAAATTGCAAGTTCCCATGTAGACTTTTTTATCTCTGGAATTCGCCATTGTGAATGCTACATCTTACCCACCAGAAAACCTCTCTCTCAAGTGTATGAAGACAGTATTTTGCTGCTTCATACACTGTACACTTAAGAAGAAACTTTCCCACTGATTCTCTCAATGTCCATCATACATATTTAGGAGGTTGTGATTCCTGTGGAAGTCAACCTTCATGTGCTGCTTTTCATTTCCTCATTTTACCAAATTGTGTATGTTCTTTCTAGATACAAAGAAAAAATTTAATAATCATAATACCTTATAACTTATATTTGTCACTTTAAATGGCAACATAAATTGATGGCTTACTTTTCCTTAATTGCTGAATATTGATTTCCAACTTTATTAAGGAAAATCTACAATAATAAATAAACTTTTGGTTTAAGTTAGTTTACCTGAAAATTGGTTCTTAAATATCATAAGAGGTTAAAAAAAATATACTTTGTTTAAATTAATAAACTAATTTCCCTTCACCTTTTATTTTTAAATTTGTATCTTTCTTTTCATATTAATTCTTTTCATATTAATGAGAGATTTGCAACTATGTGAATTTCTCAGGTCACATTTGACCATACTCATAACAAATATTGTCAGAAAATACATAAAGGCATAGTTTCTATAGAAATCATAAACCTCAATTTAATTCTTTGAATCTTTTAGGTCTAACATTTCATATGTCCCCATTTTTTACTGCCAACTACAGAAAAGGGGTAATAATCGTAAAAATTAAGAGTTGAGAAGGATCATCAAATCTTAGTCCTTTTCAAAGTTGAGTAGACTGAGACCTAGGTTGATTAAGATCAAGATCATAACAGCTAATTGATGGTAAAACCAGAATTAAAACCTACATCATTTAAAATTAAAATAAAATAAAATGCTCATAAATATTTAATACAGAGGAGATAGATAAGCATGAATTTATTATTATCATTATTAATTTCAAAGAGGAAAGAAGAGGGAGACAGAGATAGATATATCCATGATGAGAGAGAATCATGGTCAGCTGCTTCCTGCATGTCCCCCACTGGGGATCGAGCCCTTGACCGGAATTGAACCTGGGACCTTTCAGTTCTCAGGTCGACGCTCTATCCACTGAGCAAAACCGGCTAGGGTGCATGAGTTATTTTTAATGACTCAGTTCTAAAACTGTAACATGGCTTTAAAAAAATTTTTTAATAGTTTAAATCTCTACTGTTGAGGGTAGTACAGATGTCCCCTTCCCTCCCCCATTACCCACTTCCACTAGATTCTGCCTCCCACTCCCCTACTATCTGTGTCCATAGGTAAGATCTTTGGTTAATCTCTTCCCACCCTGCCTCCCCCCTTCCCTCTGAGATTTGTAAGTCTGTTCCATGCTTCCATGCTTCTGATTCTATTTCACTCACCAGTTTATTCTGTTCATTAGATTTAAAATACACACACACACACACACACACACACACAATTTATTTCAGAGAGAAAGGGAAAGGAAAAGAGATAGAAACATCTATGATGAGAGAGAATCATTAATCGGCTGCCACATCCCCTCCTGGGGACCAAGCCCACAACCCCTTTACTGGAATTCAACCTGGGACTCTTTAGTCTACAGGCTGACATTCTATCCACTGAGCCAAACCAGCTAGGCCTGTTCATTAGATTTTTTGTTCATTTATTTTGATTTTTAGATTCAATTATTGATAGATATGTATTTGTTGCCATTTTATTGTTGATATTTTTATCTCTTCTCCTCCTTCTTTCTTCTTCCTCTTCCTAAAGCATTCCTTCAACATTTCATGTAATACTGCTTTGATGATGATGAATTCCTTTAGCTTTTTCTTACCTGTGAAGCTCTTCATCTGACCCTCAATTCTAAATGACAGCTCTGTTGTGTAGAGTAATCTTGGTTTTAAGTCCTTGTTATTCATCTCTTTGAACATTTCTTGCCACTCTCTTCTGGCCTGCATAATTTCTGTTGAGAAATCAACTGTCAGTTGTATGGCTGCTCCCCTGTAGGTAACTAACTGTTTTTCTCTTGCTGCTTTTAAGGTTCTTTGTTTTTAACACTTGGCATTTTTTGGACCTCTCTGGATTCTTGTTTGTATCTCTGTGCTTCCTTGACTTGTAAGTCTATTTCTTTTACCAAGTAGGGCAAGCTTTCTGTCATTATTTCTTCAGAGAGGTTTTCAATATCTTGCTCTCTCTCTCCTTCTGGTACCCCCATAATGTGAATGTTGGTATGCTTGAAGTTGCCCCAGAAGCTCCTTACATTATCTTCATATTTTTGGATTCTTTTTTTTTTTTCTTTTTGCTCCTCATATTCCAAATCATTGATTTGATTCTTAGAATATTCTACTCTACTGTTGAATCCCTGTAAAATATTATTTCAGTTAGTGTGTGCTTAAACTGACTGGTCCTTTTTTCATATCTTTGACATTCTACCAAGATCCTTAAAAGTCTTATGAAGATCTCTGAATAAACTTATAACCATGGTTTTGAACTCTGTTTCTAGTAGTTTGCTTGCTTCCATTTCTTTCACTTGTGACATGTTTGTCTCCACATTTTGGCTACTTCCCTGTGTCTGTTTCTATGTATTAGGTAGAGCTGCTATGTCTCCTGGAATTGATAGACACAGTGCCTCAGCCTGCCTAGTTATCTGAGCTGGACACTCTTAAGAATGCCCCAGTGTGGGCTGTGTGCACATTCTTGTACAATAGTTGAGCCTTGATTGCTGTTGGTATCACTGAGAGGAGTTGACCTCTAGGCCAATGAGCTGTGAGGACCAGCTGCAACTACAGTGGGAGAGCTACTGTGCAGGGAACACTCTTATGGAGCAAGACTTGCTTTAGTGGGGCTTTGGTACTCACTGACTCTGTCACTTGAGTGCCACTTGTGGATGTGTAGACTTGTAATCTGCTATGGTCTGAAGCTGTTAACTGGGTGCACTGGCTCTAGGGCCTCAAGGCAGGTGTAAAGTCAGCCACTACCTGGGGCCACTCAGCAGGAGCTACAAAGGGATCCAGACAGCTGCTATTTGCTATTTGTATTGGGCGTGGAGGTTCCCAGGTGACACCCAGCTATGAAGCATGGCAGGCTGGTGCTAGTGCTGGGACTTGAGCCTTTTATTTATAGGTTTGGGGCATGCTGTCACCAGCTGCAGCTTGTTTGTGAGATTTTATCAAAGTCTGAAGCCTAAGTCAGGACAGACCATTCCTATGGAAAAGCTGCTGCAAACATCTTGGGTATGGCAGCAAATTGAATGGGGTAGGGTATCAGGGAATCCCCAGAGCAGAGCAAATCATGCAAGCCAGGCTGATGGAGACTCAGATATGGTTGCCAGCCAGCTCTGTGACAGGGGTGGTCCCTACACAGGAACAATGACCCATGAAATCATCTCCAGTCTGGCAGAAAGCCACCCCTGCCCTGATGCCAGTCAATCTAGTTCCTCCCCATCTGTTTAGGCCCCCCAGTGCTGGAGCTTAGAAGTGGGACCACATAAGTTTGTGCACCGGCCTTTTAAGAGGCACACCTGGGTCTCCAGCAGCCTCTATGTAACTCGGCCACAATCCAGGCTGGATTTTAAAGCCAGTAGTTGTGGTGATTTCTCATTCCAGCTTTGGAACCCTGGGCTGGGGGCTACTGTGGGGCTAGGACCGCTTGGTCCTCACGGGCAGCCTCCACAAAGATGATCTCCCTCCCAATTAAAAAAAAACCGCACACATGGCTGTCAGACCAGCCCATTCCTCACTTCCACCCCTCCTACCAGTCTAAATGTGCTTTCTTCTTCACTTCTCTAGTTATAGGACTTATATTCAGCCAGCTTCCAGGTGGTTCTGAATAATGGTTGTTCTGTATTTTAATTGTAATTTTGATGTGGTTGTGGGAGGCTGCACCAGCATTTATCTATGCTGCCATCTTGGTTCTAAAAACTTTTTGTTTTTTAAAAATAGACTTAAAAACTCCCACAATGGAGGCAATACCATTACATATACAGCTAGACTCTTTTCTCTATATTTAAAATTGTTTTGTTTTTTATCTGAGAATTAAGAAAAGGGAGTTTTAAGAATGGCCATTTTACAGAACACAGTTCAAAATTAATCCTGAAGAATCATTACTTCTCAAGTAGACCATGAATTTTTGGTTATTTAAAAAAGCACAGCCTGGCTGGTGTGGTTCAGTGATTGAGCATTGACCCATGAACCAGGAGATGGCAGTTCCATTCCCTGTCAGGGCCCTGCCAAGGTGGCGGGCTCAATCCCCAGTAGGGGGCTGGCAGGAGGCAACCAATGAATGATGTTTCTCTCTTATTGATGTTTCTATCTCTCTATCTCTCCTTTTCTCTCTCAATAAAGTCAATAAAAACATATTTTTAAAAAAATATTTGTAAAAGACAACCTACCTTTAAAAATACAAAACACAAAAGCACGGGTTCCGGAACAGCCCATGAAAATGAAGGCAAAAAGGATTCTGTTTAAACAGAAGAACAGTTAGGTATAGGAGAGACACACTATAGTGTTTGTTCCCTGTACGCCTGATGTAAAGATATGTGTGTGTGTGTGTGTGTGTGTGTGTGTGTGTGTGTGTTATAAAAAATTATTCAGAAAGGAACATATTTTCTCCTTTAGGTTTGGGTTTTGAGTATTTTTGTTCCAAAGAAAGGACTGATCAGCTAGTGTAAACCCAGTTTAGCATTTATGATAAAATTAAGGTAATGACGCTTCCTGAGGGGCAACCATCTTTCCACCCCACACTGGAAACTTCCTTTAAGAAAAAAGCTCAGCTATTTTGTGAAATAATATCTAATTCTTGTTAAAATCTTACAGGCACTGTAAGCTATCTTGTCAGATTTTGACAGGCACTGAAGCTATTTTGTAAAAATTTGAAGAGATTAAATGAGAGAATGCATTAAAATGCCCAGCCCAAAGTAAGCACTCTGTAAATTTGGTCACATGAATTATTTATGTACTCTATAGGAAGGGAAGAAAGGTGGTGCTCATAGAAATTAAGGATTTATTCAAGTTTACAGAGCTAGGATAGAGCAAAGTTGAGATTCAAATCCAAATTGTATCAGGCTCTAACAGCCAGAACTTTTAATCCCTACATTACACTCTTTTATCTTTTATCAATTTGTTTTCTTAAAGCTCTTCTGCTTCAAACCTTGAATACTGCTTTTTAAATGAAAAAAAATTAGTTAAAACATCTCTACTGATTTTTCTGTTCTAAATGGGGTGATTTGAGAAAATTATATTAAACAAAAAATTTATAATTGTAAAAATTATAATACAGGAATTTCTTATCTCAAAATAATTCAAACTTATTATAGCTTTCCTAAACTTTTATATTGTGCTAGACACAGTCTAGAACAATTTTTTTAAAAGCAAGATAAATTAAAAGGGGTAAAAAATAAAACAGATGAATTTCTGTGTTATCTTAAAGATTTTCTATTTAAGGAAATCTCCAAAAGATCCTAGTCTAGCAATTAAATCTTCTGAGACCAACTTTATGATTTGAATAGGTCATAGATTTTCTGTTCCAATGTGTTTTTTGGGGGGATGTATATGTATTCTTTCCTAACTACTATGGTGAAATAAAAATAAAATAATGTATACTTCCCTATATTTGTATAGTACCTTGTAATTGTCAAAGTCTTTTCACTATATTCTCTCATTTGTTCTTCATAATGGCCAAAGAGCGAGAACAAGTATTCTTTAGACCAACCATATGAGATACTTAAGGCTCAGAAATTAAATAATTTCTATAGTGTCATATTGCTGATAAATGGTAGATATAAGATTAGGTTCCAGATTTCCAAACATGGAAGCTGGTATTCCTTTCCATTATATAACCCTATGTCTCACTGAATGATGTTGCTACATTGAATGCAAAATGTTATTTATGATTTACACAAAGCATTCACCCTATGCAAAGAGATCCTAACAGTAGCAACCTGTGCAGAGGCCCTGACTCCCTGGGAACTTACCTGACCATATTTGGAGATTGAGCAGTCACTGCACAACCACCTGATAATTATTTGGCAACGAAGGGGAAAGGTGTAGCAGAGCTCCTTGTAGATTTAAACGTAGAAATGTTACAAAACTATCAAAAGAAAACAAAACAAGAAGATTCCAGAGGATGAATATAATTTTGTATACAAATTAGTTTATATATATCTAGTTGGTTTATGATTTAATTTGAGGATTTCTTAGCTTTGTTTTGTTTCCTTAGCTAAAGAGGTTTGAAGGGCTTACAATGAATATTATGTTTTACTAGAGGCCCGATAAAAGAAATTTGTGCAAGAGGGGGCCTTCCTACCCAGCTGTTGGCACCGGTTTCCCTCTGGCACCCAGGATCCGGGCTTCCCTTGCAGCCCTGGCTTCATCTGGAAGGACGTCTGATCTAATTAGCATATTATGCTTTTATTATTATAGATACTGTACATACAAAAAAACTCAGAAAAGGAAAATGATTCAGTCAAAGGAGTAAAATAAAAATATCCTTAAAAATAGCTCATGTTTGCCTAGCCAGCATGGTTCCGTCAGTGGTTCAGCATTGACCTATGAACCAGAAGGTCATGGTTTGACTTGCAGTCAGGGCACATGCCCTTCCTCTCTGTAAAAAATCTACAGTGTGGAGCGTGCAGGAGAGAGCCAATCAATGATTCTCATCATTGATGTTTCTTTCTCTCCCTTTCCCTCTCCCTTCATCTCTGAAATCAACAAAAATATATTTTTAAAAATAGCTCATGCTTATTGAGCATGACTTTTGTTTCTCTGCTTTAATGACTTCATTGAATCAATATAACAACCTAACTGATAGATTCTATTATGATTACTACTTACCAAGAGCTTAAGTTATAGTAAAAATCTTTGAATCAAAATTCAACATGTTCTTTTTAGTAGTGACACTTTGAGAAAGAAATGTAGCTAAACATTCTAGCGATTTGGTGTTAAACACCAAATATACTGCCAAAGTTTAGGAATTTGGTCAATTCTAGTGTCTGTTAGAATTATGTCCCAGTTTTATACTCAAATGTCTTGCACTGTTTTTAGCAGGATAAAAATCTTAAGAATTAATAAAAAATAATACTTCATATTTACAAGATACTTATGCCTTTTCAAATTATACGTGTCAGACCTTTTTAAGTAATGAAATGGATAGCCCTGGCCTGTGTGGTTCAGTTGGCTGAGTGCTGATGGACCTTTGTCTCTCATTGATGTTTCCCTCTCTCTCCCTCTACCTTCCTCTTTCCCTAAAAAAAGAAAAAAGAAATAAAATTATATATTTTTAAAAATAAATAAATGGATAACTTGTTCAGAAAAACTCATTTCCTTGAACTGCCTAGATTAGAATTCTCAAAAGTATGCTTTTTATAGAACTAATTAATGGTAATAATTGATAGTATATGGTCAGATAAATTTGGAAAATACCATGCTAAGTATTAATAAAAAATTTGCTGCAGACTTGTCTGAGCCTATACATTTTGTGCCTATACATATTTTAAAGAGAAAATTATAATAAGCAATATTTATCTAATATATTGGTTTTTTTATGAAACTCATTTCAGAATGTAACATCTGAATTAGTGTTTTATGGAACATAGTTTTAAGATTCTAAGTTCATATCTGGGAAGAAATATTGACATTTAAGACTTGGATTTTTGCCATCAGCTCAAATTGACAATAAAATTGCCAACTTTTATTTGTATAGATTTGCTTTATTGTTATTCAAAGAACAACAGAAATTTGTTCTATGCCTTAAATCATGAAAAGTTAAGCCCATTTTTATTTCAAATATTCTATGAGAATTATATATGCTCTTTATAATAAACAGAAGTCAGTATGTTCTAAATGCTCCTTAGAGGTTGAAGATTAAGTAAATTATGCTATATACATAAGATAAATATCTGTCAATAAATGATCTTATAAGAATATTAATGAGGTGGGAATATTATTAAATTATATAAAGGCCCAGCCAGCTTGGCTCAGTAGTTGATTTTCGATCAATGAACTAGGAGGTCATGCCTGGGTTGTGGTTCAATTCCCAGTGGGGAAGTGCAGGAGGCAGCCAATCAATGATTCTTCTCTCTAATCATTGTTTCTTTCTTTCTCTCTCTCTCTCTCTCTCTCTCTCTCTCTCTCTCTCTCTCTCTCTCTTTCTCTCCCCCTCTCCCTTTCTCTCTGAAATCAACAAAAAATATATTTTAAAAAATTATATTAAGTGAGGACCACAAAACAATATACAGTATTATTCTAATAATATAAAACAGGCAAATGAAAAACAAAACCAGAAGACTGGAAGAAATAAAAACACCAAGTATTATGATTATGAGTCAGTCAGTTAAAACCAAAATATATATCCAAATATATGTGCTACCAGAGGGTACTTGCATTGTTTTTTTTGGCTTAAATTTGGGAAACCTAATTCAAAAGAAATCTTAAACTCTAGATTTGGTTTATACTGTTGTCAATTAACCAGGTCAGGTTAGTCTTTTGTTTGCCAGTTTCTGCAACTTTAAAGATGGAAAATATGGCTGAAACCGATTTGGCTCAGTGGTAGAGCATCGGTCTGCGGACTGAAAGGTCCTGGGTTCGATTCCGGTCAAGGGCATGTACGTTGGTTGCGGGCACATCCCCGGTGGGGGGTGTGCAGGAGGCAGCTGGTCGATGTTTCTCTCTCATCGACGTTTCTGGCTCTCTCTCTCTCCCTTCCTCTCTGTAAAAAATCAATAAAATATATTAAAGATGGAAGATATGTTTTATTTCTTCCTATTGATATGACTTGTGAAGACTTGTAAAATAATAAAATGTATTTTTTTCTGATATTTAATGTATGAGGTCCTGATGATGTTAACTATTCTATGTCTCTAAACTAAGCTGATTTTGAACCTCAAGATGCTCTCACTCCTGTGAGCAAGTACCTAGAAAATACATGGGAGGACCCTGGGAAATCACTTCCACATCCTACATGCTTTGTCTTACCTGCTAAATGATTAACATGCTTTAGGCACCATTCAGTCTGAGACTCCTCCAATTCACATTTCAACTCAATAGCGCATACTTCCCACCCACAGCATCCTATTGAAATTGTACTTGCTGTGATCTCCAGTGACTTCCTCATTCTTTTTGGTCTTTCTCATTGATCACCTCCTTGAAGTACTGACCTCACCTGGTTTCTCTCCATGATTCTCCTAGCCTCTCCTCCTCTGCTCTCTTCCTGGTTATTCTCCTTCTACTGTCTCCTAATTGTTGATGTTCTCTATGGCTCCATTCTCTATGCTCTTCTCCTTTCACTCCATAAATCATCTTTCACACCAAAGTCACACTCCTCGGGTCAGAAATCACTTTCCCTTCTTCCCTCCTCTGAAAGAGAGGAAGAACCAGATTCAGAGAGGAATTGGCAGACACAATGATACTCCAAGTAACATAAAAAGGAATAGTGGGTTTGGCTCAGTGGATAGAGTTTTGGACTGTGAACCAAAGGGTTCCAGGTTTGATTCTGGCCAAGGGCACTTACCTCAGTTGCAAGCCCAGGCCCAGGCCCTCCCTGGTCAGGCACTAGCAGGAAGAAAAGAATCCATGTGCTTTTCTCACACTGCTATTTCTGTCTGTCTTCCCCTCTTCTACTCTCTCTGAAAATCAATGGAAAAATGTCCTCAGGTGAGACTAAATAAATAAATAAATATAGTAAAAGTAAAACTTTTATTTCACTAATATTACCTTGTTAGATAGTTAATAATAATAGAAATAAATTCATTCCTTGGGTCATAGAAGTAATAGCAATTCACAATAGTGCTGTTCTTGAATACCCTCTTCCCTGTCAATATTTCTTTACCCATCACCTACTGATATATTTGATTTATAGCTTTCAATATAAATTTCTATTTCATTATGTTTTTTCTAGTTTTTCTAACTTTCTTTCCTTCACCCCTTATATGTCATTATACCATACTGATCTGCCTATATTTGTTAGTAAAATTAATGCTCAAGTTTAATGTGCTAAAGATTATAAGGCACCTAAAGTTGGCTTTCTTCCCTCTTCCTCCCCTTTTTTCCTGATCAGCCTTCTCTCATCACCCTCTCACTTTATTCGTCTGCCCCTTACAACCACAGACTAACACCGGACTATACACAATAGACTGTCAGTGAGTGCCAGTAATTAAACAAAATCCAGTTTAGATAAAAATACAAATTTTTAAAAAAATATATATGGTTGAATACTTACTTTTTAAGATGGACCTTTATTCTTGTGACAAAATAATTGGAATGGATAACATTCCTTAAATACTATATTGTTATTGGTCAAGTTGCAAATGACTGCCTGTTTATGCCTCCCTCCACTGCTCCAGCTCCCTTAGTAGTATCTTCATTAAAATGTTGCCATAGAGGTCTCATCCACTGCCTGTAAGATAGTGGGGGAAAGATCAGATGATTTCTAGAACTGGGAATTAAGGAAGGCAAATCCTAAAAATGGTTAAACTTAATCAATCACCTTCCTTTTGGGAGGTGGGCATGTCTAAAGTTTGGCAAAATTCTTGCTGTGCTCAGAGTGGATTTTCTATAAATTTAGGGTTTTACATTACACAATAAGATGAATTACATTTCATAGTAATTATTTTTTTTAGTTGCAATAGTGCTAGAACCACTTCATGGATTTTTAAAAATTCCAATTCCTTCTCAGACAGGTGTAATTTGTTTTAGTCCTATACATTGGACATACAGTTAAACTGAACTACTTTAAGTCTTTCTTGCTACAGTTTGCTAAGATTCAAAATTTGCCCTTTGTTCTTTAAGGAAGCGATAGATTGTTTGGAAATAATCTAAACTATTTTATTTTATATCAAACATAATTCTTAAATATTATGTATAGAATTCCATGCAAAAAAAATCAGTTCAGTATTATTACTGTAAAACCTTGTGAAATATACAAGTTTGTATTGCAATGAATTTTGCAGTATCTTATTCCCAACATTTCCTAAATGAAAAAAGCAGTACATCATAAAAAACTTTCAGTTTTTATTTTCCTAAAAGTTATGTTGTAAGAATTATTTTCTATTTAAATATGTTTTTATTGATTTTAGAGAGGATGGGAGGAGAGAAAGAGAGAAACATCAATAATGAGAACCACTGATTGGCTGCCTCCTGCATGCTCTATAATGGGGATTGGGCCTATAACCTGGGCATATGCCCTCACCTGGAATTGAACCATGACCTCCTGGTTCATAGGTCGACACTCAATCAGTGAGCCATGCCAGCCAGGCAAAAGAATTATTTCTTTATATAGCTCAGTATGGGGAACAAAAGCAGAGTTAAGAAAAAATGGTCACTTCTAGTGAAAATATACTAATTCAGTATTTAGTAATTTTGTACAATGCTTTCAGTCATAGCATTGTATTACATTTTAATGTTGAGATTATTGTGCATTCATACATGTTAAAGAATTCCACATTTTCCCAATTAAATACAAACGCAATATCTCACTTTATTATTAGCTTTGTGAGCTATATGGATTGCTCTTTGCCTAGCTGTTAGTAAATATACAATAAACATTTGTTGAATGCTTGAAGGAATGAATAATCTAGATTCCTGCTACCACAACTGGTATTATGATTTATTTATTTTTACTTTATTGTTACATCAAAAAGAATTTAACTTCTTTGGATCACTATCCATTTTTGCCCTCCTTCCTGCCTGCCTCTGAGGAAGATGGTCCTAAAGTTAATCCACTTATGTGAATTAGCATACAAACATACCCACATCTTTCCTTCCTTCAAACACAACAAAACTAGGACCTGAATTGCTACCCCTTTCTGTCTGTCCCCTCCCCGCAAAGCCAAGCTTCTTGAAGCATATCTCTTTCCTCATTTTTAGTTCACTCATTATAAAATTCAGTTTCTGGGACTCCGCTCTGGCATCAGATACCAGGCATTTCAATCTCAGCATTGCCTTTTGCCAGCTTTGTGACCACAGGCAGGTCTTGCAACCTCTAACAGGACAGACCTCATAGGCTCTCATAAAAATTGAGGTAATGGACTTTTGCATTGACTGGCACATAGTAAATGCTTATAAATTGTCACATAGAAAGAGAATTTAACTTCTTTGGAAATTAAATGATAGTTATTTTTACTAATTAAAAGTATAACAGTTCAAAGATTAAAACACACACACACACACACACACACACACACACACACACACACACAAACACATTGGAATGGGTTTAAGAGTTTTTACTTTACCTAACATTCTTCAGTTCAGGAAATTAGACTCAGAGAGGGTAAGCAGTCAAAGAAAGTTTCATGAAGGAGGTAACATTTGAGTTGGATTTTAAAAGCTAACAACAAATTATATCTATTGAATAGTTACTGTGGGCCAGAGATCATTGTAAATGACTTTACTTAATCCTCAAAACATTCCTCAAAACTGTGAGGTAGCATTTAGATAGAAATAGATGAGCTGAAGCCAGACAGAGAAAATAGAAGGAATGAATGAAAACCTGGAGACAGGAGAGACATTGATTTGTAAAGATGTTGAGGAGATGAGATAATGAAGAGCTTGTCTTAGGCAGTAATGAGAAGCAATATTGGGCAGAGCACAGGAAAATTGTGAGGCCTTCACAGCCGTGCCACACACACATATAAGAGAAAATGAAAGAACTTAATGGGATGGAAAAATAAAAAGTAGTTATAAATAAATGATTTGGGGAAAGGATACAGATGGAAAAGGGGCGGGGGGCACTTGGACTTGGTGACATGCACTATGAAGCCCTGAAGGGCAGTTTGAACTGTATTCTTCACATCCCCAGAGTCCCACAACCTCTACCAGCCATGATGAGTTCTTATGAGCCACTATTAGCATACAGCACAGTGTCCTATGAAGTAATGAATTAATAAAAAATGAATTGGGTCCAGACAGTGTTGCTCAGTGATTGAGCATCAACCCATGAACCAAGAGGTCACTGGTTTGATTCCTGGTCAGAGCACATTCTCAGGTTGTGGGCTCTATCCCCAGTGTGTGGTATGCAGGAGGAAATTAATGTTTCTCTATTCTTCTCCCTTATTCTCTCTAAAATCAATAAAAACATCTTTTCTTAAAAAATTTTAATGAATTGGAATGGAGGTTGTTTCTAGGTGGGACTATGATTAAGACATTAGTAATGGAAATAATGAGGCAAATCCCAGAAACAATTTCAAAGGAAAACTAAGAGGGTGTGGGCAAGTATTAGACATGTATTAGATATATATTTCATGTTTATTATATACAGCAACTAGTGTCAGAGCAGTTGCATTTGACATATTTTAGTTTGTTGTTGTATTTGAAATGAATCACATTTCAGGGTAATGACACTTTAATTATTTTTACCACTAAAACTTATGTCTCTTTACTTTCTACTTCTACTCCCTTGATCCAAGTTCTTGTTAGTTTCCCCTGGATTGTTGTCGGAGTTTCCTATGAACTCCGGCCAAATAAACCTCCTTATCTTTAAGCACATCTCCCATGCTTTTGTTCATACAGTTGCCATCTCCCATGAATACCCTTTCTTCTACCATTTCATTCCCATTAGCAATTGGAATCCTTGTCATCCTTCAGAACCAAATCACCTTCTGTCTTCTCCATGATTCTGATCATCCTAGCTAGAACTGACGGCTTTTCTTTCTGAACTCCCTCAGAACTGCATCTGATCAGTTCTTATCAACATTTTATTTGTATCCCCAATGATGATAGTGCTGTATGTTACCTATTTAATTAATATGACATGAATTAAAAGTATTTTAAAAACTCCAAATCTCTTCCCAACCAAGAGTTTTCCTTTGAGGAAAGTTAGTAGCCAGCTTTACATTAGTATGTATCTTTTGTAATATTGAAAATGTCACATCACCATTGTTGGGGATACTTAAGACAATGAGGGGACTCTATGTTGGGAATAGAAAAAGTTAAAGGCTGTGCAGGATTAGCCATTTTTGCAAGGAAAGTTTTGGTTGGATAAAGGCTAAAGAAAAAAAGCCTGAACGTGAACCTTTATTGCTGCACTCCTGTCCCTTATGAGGGAGGAGAGTGAACTGAATATAAGGACTTCAGCCCAGCTGGTGTCACTCAACCTATGAACCAGAGGTCATGGTTTGATTCCCAGTCAGGGCACACTCCTGGTTTGAGGGCTGTTCCTAGTAAGAAACATGCAGGAGGCAGCCCTCCTCTCTTTATCTCCCCCTCCTTCCTCTCTGAAGTAAAATTTAAAAGAAAACAAGGACTTTAGCCTTTGGGTCCTTGGAAACCCAGGGCACTGAATTGGATGGGGAACTGATTCAGAAAGAAAATGTCTCTTAGCAGGCATATTATCTGCAAAAGGTCAAGTTTAATTTGTAAGCATCTCTTTCAACCTGCTTTGGGAGGTGATTCTACAATTTCTAGGGAACAAGAAACTTAGTTGTATGATGCCCATTATTACTAGTATAGGATCTGGAAAATGTTATCCATAAGCTGTTATTTTTAATGAAGGTTAAAAACATATCCATTTCTTTAATGGTTTGTTCATGACTTACGACTCTATTTTGTTCTACAAAGTCTTGGGTTCTTCAATCAACCAAATTCTACTAGGATTTTACTGTAGGCTAGAGAGGATTACTATACTTCAGCCAATGTTTTCAGAACTATGAAACCTGTCTATATAGGTGCCATATTCCACAGTGCAATTGGCAATTCTTGAGGATCCTAGATTGTGACATGTACTCTTGTGGCTCTGAGTCTTTACCCATGCTGCTTCCCTTGACTAAAATACCTTTCTTCTTCTTCTTCTTCTTTTTTTTTTTTTGCAAGGTTAACCCATAGTTATCCTTCATAAGTTTTACTCAGATGTCATCCCCTCCAAAAAGCCTTCCTGAATGCTTTCATTAGAGCCACTCCCCCAGGGATTGGGTGACACTCCTGCCTGTTTCCATGGTAGCCTGGGCTTTCATCAAAATACTCACCTCTGGTGTGGGGTTTGCCATCCACAGGTCCTCCTCCCACTGTGTAAGCTGCTGATTACCTGTAGATGCTAAGTAATCAGCAGCATACTTCCCAGGCCCTGAGGGTTCAATAACTGTTCACGGAATGAATAAATGCATAGTCTTATAGAAAGGGTAATCTGCCTCTACCTGGCAGATGTGAGTTGTCAATATTAGTGTCGGATAATTTTGGAGAGCTGTCATCTATGTTCTTCTTATCTTCTTCCTACCTGGTAAGTAGTAGAAAAACCAGCCTGAAAGGGTCCTATCCAACCCACTATTTAAGAACAGTGATTATTTTTACTATGTAGATCCCCTGGAGAACAGCTGAAACATTTTTGTGTCTCAGTGAACATTTGAAATTTTGCTGCCAAACTTATTAAACCCACCTCAACAGTCTTTCTGGTTTTTAAAATAGCCCACTAGAAAGAGCTCTCTGGGGAAAACCATTTTCATTTGTAATATAAATCAAGTGTTAACAATCTATCACATCCATCTATATCTCTTCTAATAATTCAGCTTTTCCTGTTTTTCTAGGTTTGGCAGGAGTACTACAGGTCTTTCTGATTCAATTGTATAGTTTTTCACAGAACAAATGATAAGAATAAGTGTGAACCCATAATTATGTTGAAGCAGCACTTTCTTTCAGGACAAAAAAAAAAAAATCATGAGTTTCCTATAAAGAATTGGCTCTAAAATCTTGAAATAGGTCTTGCTATAAATTTCCCCCTTAAAAGTTATAGTGGCTGATGATAATTATTCTCTTTGCTCCAACTATAATAAAAGGGTGAGAGGATGGTTTGATAAAATGCATAATTTAAAAACAAAGCAAAAAAAAAAAAAACAAAACACAACCCTATTTGGGATCAAAGTGGGATGACAGCCCTTAGCATTGGGCCCTGTGGGTGGAACTAGCCAGTGATGGGATGCGATGCCTGTGAAATGTCATCCCGAGTCTCACTAAACATAAAAATAACTGCTGACAAAAGTTCACCTGAAGTAGCATTTTTCCCCTAATTTCGTTTGCATGTTTTTGTTTCAAAGACCTAACGCGTAACGATAACGAGGCCTCACCCACCAGTTGCCCCGCGAGCGCCGCTCGGGACCCACCGCCCCTCGCGCCGGCCGGGCGGGGGCTCCGGGCCGCAGCGCCGCCTGCGCCTCTCCCGCCGCGGCGTCCGGGCGTCCTGGGCGCAGCGCCTTCCCGGCACCTCGCCTGCTGCCTGCCGACAGCGCCGGGAGGGAGCGGGCGTGAGGGAGGGAGCGCGTGCGGACGGCGAGCGGCGGCCGGGCTCTGGGCCCCGGCGTCCGAGCGCCGGGACCCCGCCGGCCCCGCCGCCTCCGCGCCGCGCAGGGCGGGGGCCGCGAGCAGCCGGGCGCGGCCGGCGGGCGCCGGGGGTTGACGGGACGCGCGCTCCGGGCCGGCGCCCGTTCGAGCCCGCGCCCCCCCCCCCCCGCGTGCCCGCGCCGCTGCGCGATGCAGTGTGGGGAATGGCTGGGGTTGGCTGAAGAGCGCACAGTGGAGTTTTAATGTCCGCCATGTTGGCCATGGCGTATTGAAGAGAGCAAGCGAGCGAGGCGCGGAGCGGCACAGCCTCCCACCCTCCCGGCTGCTGTCAGGGCCCCGGACGGCGAGCTCTGCGCTCCGCCCCTCAAGTCCCGGCAGCGGCAGGCGAGTGGGGACCGATCCCCCGGTTCTCCATGATCCCGCTGGCCGGGGCCGTTTCCCCAGAGCAGAGAGGTATCTGCTGCGCCTGAGATGAGTAAACTGTCGTTTCGGGCGCGGGCGCTAGACGCCTCGAAGCCGCTGCCGGTTTTCCGCTGTGAGGATCTGCCCGACCTGCACGAATACGCCTCGATAAACCGAGCCGTGCCGCAGATGCCCACCGGAATGGAGAAGGAAGAGGAGTCGGTACGTGTTAACTCCCCTGTCCGACCCATCTCCAGGCCCCGCTCCCTCTGCTGCCGGCGGCGGCGGCGGAGCACCAAATCCACACAAAATGGCCGCCATCTTCTCTCCGCCGCCGACTCCCAGTCGCCGGCCGGCCCTTTCCCCGCTCCCCCCGGCCTCGCACTCCGGCCGCTGCGGCTAGACGGGACCTCCTCTGAGGCCACCCGCCGACCCCGGCTACTGGTACCCGGGTCCTACGGAGTTCGGGAGCCCGAACGGCACAAAGGGGTCACGTGACGGAGCCGCCGGCAGCCATTTTGTGGTCTCAGTAGTCGGGTTGGGCCTGGTGCTTCTGGAGACAGGAACGGGCTGGGTCGCGGTGGGGTGCGGCGCGCCGGGTGAGGAGGACCCGCCTGCAGGCCTCTCCGCGGGCCACTGGGTGGCGCGCTAGGGCCGCCTCGGCTTTCGCGCGTCTTTGGCGCCTGGGAGCTCCGGTTCCGCGCTGGGAGGGGGCGTTGCGCTTCCTGGTAGCCTGGCGCTGCGGGGCCATGTGGAGTCTGCGGAGGCTGCCCTGGGGGTGGCAGGTCTCTGAGACTGCCACCCCGCCCTGCAACGCAGTGTGGAAAGGACTGCATGTTTGCCCCGACGACTTTTTCAAAGCAGATTTTCTGTAAACTTGGCTCTTTTGCATTCATTCTCCCCCAGTTCTAGTTAGTGGGAGGATAATAAACTACTGTCTCTGAGTTTTTCTCAGATCCTTGAGAATATGTTCAGATGGTTGCAGATATTTTTATTAGTACTGGCTCGTCTTAAACCTGTAATTTTATTACCGGGTTTCGTTTTGTGTGTGTGTGTGTGTGTGTGTGTGGTTTTTTTTGTTTTTTGGGTTTTTTTTTTAATAAAGTTTTAAGTTCGCGTGCTTTCTAATTTTTCATCACAGGGGGGAGAAAACGCCCACTTCAAGTAGATATTACAGATCTACATTTCAAAAGAGGATCCCTTCTTACCCATAACTTTGCTAAAGAAATCTTAATGTTAAGATGTCTAAATTGGATGGGTTTCAGTATTTAAATAGTTAGAGCTAATAGACATCGTACCAGAGCTGTGGCTTTACCTTGTCGTGGAGATTGGGTTCAGACATAAGGACACTAGAATCTTCCTCTCATTTCCCCCAGATCCTTGACAGTATAACTTGATGACTTCTAATCCTAAGGAATTGCAATACTTGGTTTTCAGGTACAGCCGTTTAAACAGGGTGCAGTGTATTGACAGTTCAAGGAAGTCGAGGAATCGCTGGATTTGTGCCCTACAATTTTGTTGTGGAAAATTGTACTGTATTACCTCTCTGGTACTGTAAGAATTTTAACTGTAGAAATTATACTCTGTAATGTTGACTTTTGAAAATAAAGCTGTTTAAACTGGGTTGTTTAACCTTTTAAAGTAAAACAGTTCTGACAGTCGAATGTTACTTTTCAGAGTAGTGTCTTAAATATAACTTTACAGGTAAGCTGAGTAATAAGGTATGTATTATAGTAGTGGAGATTGTCAGTACATTGAGATAGAACCTCTTATTTTACTTGTATCATCTTTGGTGTAGAATGGTGCCATTTGTTTATTTTTAAATAAGTGATTTGTTTTTAAAAATTAAAGTACTTGTGACTGCAGAATCTTGTATTTGGTTTTATTTTTGTTTCTGTTTATAAGTTTTACAGATTATACTTTAAATTTGGGGTGTTGCAGTTACACTGCCCTGGAAATTAATTTCTAGTTCAAGGCAAGGATGGGGAGAGGCTTGATAAAAGCAATATAGCACTGTATGTAGTACACTTAGAAGTTTAGTTAAGTTGTGCTTTAGTTAAAAGTCTTGGGCAATCCCAAGAGCAACAGCCTGAAATCAGAGTTGGCTTCAGCTAAAGTATCAATATGCTTTTTAAGTTTTACAGATAAGTTTTGTGCACTGAAATAATTCTGACATCTTACAGTGCAATAGATATCATTAGTTTGTTACATGTGGAGTCCCTATTTTTGAGGGACATGAGGGATGGGTTTTTTCACACTACCTTTTTCTGTCGTCTGTTTAGAATTTATTTCACTTCACATCCAACTAAAACTCTGATCCGTGAAGCATAGGTCTCAAGAATAGATAATGAATTTAGTAGAAGAATGTGACCAGTACTAGGTAAACAGCTGCTTTACAACTCTGGTTCATGCTTGTAGTTAATGGCTATATAAATCACAATATTGAAAGTAGCATGTTTCAGAATTATGAAAATGTATACCAAGAATAAAGGTCATTGAATTGAGTCAGCCTTAAAAAAACAAAAACTCGCCGAAACCGGTTTGGCTCAATGGATAGAGCGTAGGCTTGGGGACTGAAAGGTCCCCGGTTCGGTTTTGGTCAAGGGCATGTACCTTGGTTGCGGGCATATCCCCAGTAGGGGGTGTGCAAGAGGCAGCTGATTGATGACTCATCGATGTTTCTAACTCTATCTCTCTCCCTTCCTCTCTGTATAAAATCAATAAAATATATTTTTTGAAAAAGAAAAAGAAAACCTTTTTGATAATTTACTGAAACATGATACACTTCTTAAAAAGGATTAAAACAAACTCTTGTCTTTGACTGACACTTTGTTTATGGTGTCTTTTAGGTAAGAGTGACCCAGAACCTGAATCAAGTGTCCCATAATCCAGTTGTTGGTCAAAATGGAATAGATTTAGATGAGGAAACTTTTGTATACACCACCTCATTAAAACATTTCATGATCAAAATATATCTGCAAAATTGTCAACTGAGCTATACCTAAAATATGGTACTATACCTAAAATATGGTAATTACTACCATATTTTGTTTCTATGGTAAACTTGACAGAAATTCTACATCTTAACACTGGGAAAATAACATTTATCAATGTAATCCCATTTAACCAATTTTTATAATATAAACTTAATACACTGACATAATGAGGCATTCCTCTTAATTTTTAATAAACTAAGTAGAATTCTCCTCTTCACCCCCTAAATGAATTTTTCTCAACTTTGGAATTTAGTTATTAGTGTTTTTGTTGTTGTAGAATCGAAAAGTAATTTTAGATTATAATAGAGGGACTTGATTGAGATCTTAGGTGGCAGGGATTAAATGTCTGAATTGATATAATGTAATGTGTTGTAGCTTAGTAAATCAAAAAGTAACAGTTGAAGGTCTTAATGAGTTACAGGAGTAATTTTCAAATCATTGGAAATCAGTAGACTGAGCTATAAATATGAGACAAATGAGTTTAGGGATGGGTGAAAAGGAAAGAAGTTAAAGCATTTGGGGAGGGGGCAAATGTTGCACCATTATAATATTTCCCCATTATAATATTTTAACTTTTCTTTAAAATTATAATCTTAACTTTAAGGTCTTAACTTTAAAATTGGAAGTGTTAAAATAATAAATACAGTGCCACAGTTTTACCTTTAATCGAAAGGAAACTTTTCTAAGGTGTCAGTACTATTGACTTTTTAAAAATTATTATTAAAGTTGGAGCTTTATGTTAAGTTATAATTCTCCTTTATGGACATTTCTCACTTTAGGAATGACATTCTGAAACTTGGTTTTAAAGTGATATTTAACAAATTGGAGTTACCTGGTTCCTATAGTGGTTTAACTTACTGCATTGGGATGAATGCAGGCTGTGTGGCTGCATTTATTATAAGGGACAGAGAAGAACCGTTATTGTCCTTGCTTAGACAGTTGGGTAGGCCATGTGATGTAATTAACATGTTGATGGTGTCACATTGATATTACCCTACACAGCCACCTTAAAATTGGGGTTTAGCCAACACCTAGTTTGAATTGGGTTCTAATTAGATGGAATAGTCTCATACACTATCCTTTCTTGCTTCTTAAAATTATATTCTTCATTATTGGCCCAGTATACAATCTTATTAAACCCAAGTTGAGGACCACTTACAAAGCAGATAGGTGGTTTTTGTTTTAATTAGGAGGAAATTGAAAATATGTACATACCTAGTTTTTGTTTTTTTAAAAATAAGTTTAAATTATTTTATAAACTTAAAAGTTTGCTTTCTCACCTTTGAAAGAAATTAACGTATTTCCTTTAAAATTTTGTAAACCAAATTGTTTTAATAAACCAGACAAAATCACAAGTAATTGAGAAACAGTGATAAAATCAAGTTTTTACCCTGCCCAAGATATTTTTGAACGGAAGTTTCTAAGTTAGGGTTTTGAGAGTTACATGAAATGATTGCGGAAGACAGTGGATTACCATATATGTATATAAAACTTTTGATGGTATATTTTTCTAGGGAGAAAGTTCATATTTGTCAGCAATTTCTCAAAATGTTGGAAATTGATTGGTGGGGTTGGA